GCACAGAAATCACGTGGAAGTATAATGTGCCCCTCACATCAGAAAAGCAGTTTTATATACTGCCCTATATCACGCGTGATGATGAGGCATTCTTCCCTGCGGTTTATTTTCGGATTTCTGGAATTAATCCTGAGTGCCTCGAGAGTTTTTCGCGCCTGTGTTCTTGATTCGCGTGCGAGGATCGTGACACATACTTCGAAGTCGTCCCCGTTATGTCTCTGGGTCCTATGCGTGCCTAGCGGGGTATTTGGTCTATTTTTGCCGGCTAGGTGTTCTTTCATGCGGACACAGAGGGGTCTACCCGTTTCGCCAATGTATTCGTCACCACACGTCTTACAGAAGATCAGATAAACTATACCTGAGCTCATGCAATCACCGTCTCTACCACTGGGGCAAATTATTCAATTTTGCACATATAGGCGGTTACGAACTAGCTGGCGCTTAAGATTACTCGGTGGTATTTCAACTACGCTCACCGAATTCTCTAAGCCCTCTCTTCTTAAGCAGCGTTTTATAGCTGTACTTTTATCATTTGAGATGAAGGGTAGGATGAACGGGACCCTTCTATCGCTAGAGTTGTTGTTTGGAGGCCTACGATTTCCTCTACACCTATTCTGAGCTACAGTTTCGTAGCCATTAAAAATGACTATTTGCCGTGCCAAGTTCCGGGACTCCTCTCTCTGCTCTCTTCCCGTGCACACGTTGGTTGCCGTTCGAAACATGTTTCTTATAAGCGCCCTTTTCGTGTGAGAGGGGTGAGAGGAGAGGTAATGAACCAAGATGTTTTTACTACTTGGTTTTCGGTACCACTTTGTAATGTAGCCATTTTTTGATAGGTGAATTTGTACGTTCAAAAATGGAAGCCATTTGTCTTTCGGCTTTTCTCTCGGGTGAACTTGATATACTCTGACTGTGCGTTAACAATTCGAAGCATTTGTCCATTTCCTCTTGTGTTGAGCAAAGGACAAAGCAGTCGTCTACATACCTACAGTAGAGTAGCGGCTCGAGATCAGTCACCGGTCATATGTTAGTATCCAGCGATGATCTTGCATCTACCGATCCATCGTTATTTAAGGTCAGATCTATAATTAGCTGCATAGACGGGCCAACGGATAGAATAACGTGGTTTTTAACCCTAATATTTAGCCAGTTGTTGAAACACATTCCAGCCCATCTTACGAATACCCAGATGTTTCTGGATCGACTACGTACTGTGCAGTTCAGTAACGTGTACATGATGGAGTCCTTCGACGTTACCGCTCTTTATACAACGTTTCTAATGACTCCACAATGCAAGCCATATTCGAGCGCCTTATACAACACGAAGGAGAAATAAACGTGTACGGCTTCAGGATAGATCGGTCGATGGTACTCTTAAAAGTGAGCTGCTCAATCCTCAGATGGTCCGGAAAGTACTACGCTCAAATAGCAGGGTTGGCAATGGGAGAGCGATTGGCACCAAGTCTTGCTATCGTGTTCATGTCTAAGGTGGAAGCACCAGTGACCAATCTTGGGCCGTTACTCTACTGTAGATATGTAGATGACTGTTTTATTCTTTGCTCAACACAGGAGTAAATGGACAAATGTTTCGAGTTGTTGAATGAATAGTCAGTGTATATCAAGTTCACCCTAGAGAAACCGAGAGAAAACTGGCTTCCACTCCTAAACGTCCAAATTGACCTGTTAGAAAATGGCTACATTACGAAGCAGTGCGGAAAGCCAAATAGTAAAAAATCTTGGTTCATTACCTCTCCTCTCACCACTCTCACACGGAAAGGGCGCTTGTAAGAAACATGTTTCGAACAGCAACCAACGTGTGCACGGGAAGAGAGCAGAGAGGAGAGTCCCGGAACTTGGCGCGGCAAATAGCCATTTGTAATGGCTACGAAACTGCAGCTCGGGATAGGTGTAGGGAAAATCGCAGGCCCCCAAACGACAACTCTAGCGATAAAAAGGTGCCGTTTACCCTACCCTTCATCTCAAGTGATGTAAGCGCTGCTATAAAACGCTGCTTAAGAGTGGCGGGTCTAGAGAATTTGGTAAACGTAGCTGAAATACCAGCGAGTACTCTTAGGCGCCAGCTAGTTCGTAACCGCTTATGTGACCGTCTATGTGCAACGCAAAACTGCACAATTTGCTCCAGTGGTAAATACGGTGATTGCATGAGCTCGGGTGCAGTTTATCTGATCTCCTGTGAGGCGTGCAGAGACCAATACATTGGCGAAACGGGCAGACCCCTCTGTGTCCACGTAAAAGAACACCTAGTCGGCAAACGTAAACTGAATACTCCACTGGGCACACATGGAACTCAGAGACATAACGGGGAACTTTGAAGTACGGGTCACGATCCTCGCACAGGAATCGAGAATGCAAGCGCGCAAAGCTCTCGAGGCGTTCGGGATTAATTCCAGAAATCCGAAATGGAACCGCAAGGAAGAATGTCTCATTATCATGCGCGGTATTGGGCAGTATATAAGCCTGTTGTTCTGATGGGAGGGCACATTACTCTTCCATGTGAAGTCTGTGCGGTTAGTTTCCAAGCGACATACTCAGTGGAAGACTTATAGAAAACGGTAAGTGTGCAAAGAAGCTGTTCTGTGTTCAATATGATTGAAATCATGGTTTAACGTTTTCTCTGTTTGCTTATGGGGGTGTTCGGCCAGTTAGAGAAGATAACTTGACCCTTCCAGGTTCTGAGGAAAGCGAAATGCGCCGAAACGTCAGCTTGTTCGTGGATAAAGAATGAAATAACATCTTGCGTTTGTTCTACAAGGATATAAAGAATTACTTTATCAATTATCAATGCCTCAGTTAATAGAAAATCGGTCGTGGAATTTACTGCGAGATGTACTACAACTTTTTATTATATGCTAAATTTTGTACACATGTAACTTATTGTGCTTACAGTGGTCTTCAAGTTAAGTGTATAGTTTGAGAATTGTGATAAACGATGTGAAACAAAAGCACTTATGCTCTGCGGTCAAGGTTCTTATTAACCACGACTTCCAACCATTTCTAGGGAGAACCGGTTTAAGTTTTAGGAACTGTAACGATAACATTGGCAGGTACCTGGAAGCAGCCTATGCCATTTTGTTTTGGAATTCTGAAAGCGATGGCTGCTGACCCGTATTCGGGACCATGGGGTGGACGGAATTGTCGTGACTCGCCGATACAGACGAAGAGAAACTGCTCATGTGGGCACGATGAATGCGAAGCTACTGACAAGTGAGCTTCTCGTACAAACATCAGCTGAAGTTTCATTGTGATTTGTTTTTTTTTGCTTCAAGTGGTTACTAGTAACTCCTTTACTTTTACACCAGAAATTGTAAATGGAAATCAATGCAGCGTTATATTTTCCGTTGTCATTCACGTAAACGTCAGTGATTTTGCTACCACTCATCGCTTTACTTTAATTCGGACGGATTTTTAAGCAGCCAACGCAGAAATATATAGTTTAACAAACGGCGCGTGTGGCGCAGTGGTCGGAGGCGTCCTGCAATGCACGTATGCGATCTATCTCCACGCCGGTCCCTCACCAAGTCTTCCATCCCTTCGGGGCTTGCAGTTTGGTACCAGACTTGTCTAGAAGGATAGCAGCACTGACTCGACACATAGGTAGGCCACTGCGAGTCATTTTGAAGGCCAAATATGCATTCAGTCATCTCCAACGATACTTAGTAAATTCGAATGCATGGCGCATCCCTCAGGGATTAATCAACGACGAGAGCCTTATACTTTTATCCTTTATATGTTAACAAACTCAACATAATGATTTTTCTGTTCAGGTTTTTAACTGTTATTAACAAAAAGAGCCACATGTAATAGAAAAATTTGACGTCCGTTTAAATTTTCGACCAATCAAGATTGTGCAAAATTATGTTAAGTGGAGCGTTCTACTATTAGTAGATCACTGTTCACTTATTCTATTTCTTACTGCTGTTAATTCGACCTTAGTAGAAATAGAAGATAAAGACAGTGTTTTCTGTAGCGTGTGACAATAGAAAGCTGGTACTTCAATTCTCTGAATGGTTTGGAAAATCATCGTGTCGCTCAGTTCTGTTGTTTGATGGGTGTTCTTGGATGTCCAACTACGATATACAACGGTAGATTCACTTCTTCTTCAGGAATGGCTTCCAAAGCTGGGAAGAATTTCGGATTTTCCATCTTCAAACCCAGCTAATGCCAGGTATGACCACCATCATAGTAGAGGCCTAGTCGATATACCTTCAACGCATGGAGACACGTAACTCGCTGTGATGTTGTCCCGGAAAAACCTTAGAACTGCTATCTCGAAAGTCCAGCCAACGAAAATTTTGTGCAAACGGTAAACTGCAAGTTAAGTGAAGACCACGCCTTGGCCCACACGATTCTTCTTAAAAGCGAGCTATCAATGTATTAAAATAAGTATGTGTAATATTGTATTATTTTCAGTTACATGAGGCAGTTCGAAGAAACGCTTCGATATGACTTCCCCGTTTCCACTGGCCCAGCAGCATTTTTGGCCGAAGCCATACAGGGTGTTGGGGGGACAATGCAATTCACGAAAGGGTAGGTCTTGAAGTATAAATGGAGAGTGAATGTTGTTGTATGTTGTGAAAAAGTAACTTTAACGATATCTTTAGTTTCCTCAAACGATCATTCGAAGCCGTGCAAAAGCGTGCTGGTTTGGCGATATGCGATGAGGTGCAAACAGGTTTCGGAAGGCTTGGATCACATTTCTGGGGATTTGAATGTATAGCGGCAACTCTCATAGTGGTTACTATATTCGTTCACACGATTCCGATTTATAGCTCAAGACGCCATGCCCGATATAGTCACGTTGGCCAAAGGTATTGGCAACGGTTTTCCCTTAGGAGCTGTTGTGACAACTGAAGAAGTAAGGAGTTTTACATCTTGCACCTGTCCATTTTCCAATGCTTTGCAAGGTTTTAATGATTGAAATGAATCAAACTACCAGTTAAGAACCTCAATCCATTAAGATTGCTTCTTCATATGGAAAAGCGTTGTATTTCAATACTTACGGTGGGAATCCGATGGCAACAACTGTAGGAAAAACTGTTCTTGAGGTATTTCCTTCTTTTGCAAATCTTTCTAAAAGTGATTTTTTTTTTGGTTCATAACAAAAAAGACTAACATCATGTGATTTAACAGATAGTAATGTAATATCACCAGACAACATACGTTTTGCCTCCTCCAGGATGTTGTGTGGTATAAAAATATTTTTTAAGCTTACTTACTTGATACTTGATACTTGAACGGCTCGTCCTCACTGGTTGTGCGCGTCCTAACATAATCATTATTTTCGGAGACTTGCTGGTTAAGGCATTGTGGTTTCCTGGAATCCCGAGGTCATCGCGGCCAAAGTCTGCCCCAGGTCTTCACCACCACGGGCAGTCGTGGCCCCTGTGGATTGAAGGGAGATTTGCCACCGTGCGACTTTTATACCAGGATGGATGGTGGTGGATCCTGCTATTGGCTCACTCTTAGCTAGGCTTTCTAAAGTAAAAGCCAGATTCCTCCTCAGCTTGGGAGACCTTGCCGGAGGGACGAATCCGCCCGCTGTAAATCGCAATCCGACACCCAGGAACACCTAGCCACGATGAGGCGGTAAACCTTTGAGAGGGGGTTTTTAAAAGTTGATCATTTTTAGCGATTGTAAAACTTACTTACTCGTCATACTTAGAATCTAACGAAATCCATCGGTTCCATTCATTTTTGTGGTGCTCACTCTCTTCATGAAAGCCAAAGCAACCATTGATATCATCGGTGCATGTAAAGTGATTTGTTTCAGATTTCATGAGGCCTAACCGATAATGGTTACTGTTAAGTTCCATAATGTGTTTATTCAAAGATCATTAATCGTTGACGGTTGCCCATCCTTTCCGTACAATCGTTCACTTATTTGAATCGTTTAACTCGAGTCAATTCCTAGCATTGCCGTATGTTTTGGTGATAGTTCCCAAGATCGACTTTCTATTAATCTCGGTATTGGATTATAAATGCGCCTTTTCTTTCTCGGCAATCGCGAGGTTGTTAAGCAGCGTACGTTTACTTCCATACAATAACACACAACACATTCGTAGCTAACGTTTCGGCAGAATCGCCTTCTTCAGAGCCTGGAAGTGCATAGTGATATGCAATCTACCACGTCAAACGCTTCAATAACACATACAGAAAGACGACAATCTAAATGGTGGTCACACGGTCAACAGCTCCTCGAAAAACCCACCGTTTCCCTACGTGCCTTCCACTGAGAAAGAGCCGCTGATCAATCTCGCATGTGGTTGACGACTGCACCTCCCATCAGCGAGAAGGTATGGGGCGAGATCAAGTGTGATCTCGGGACACTCCTCTCTGCTGTTCATTTTAGGGTTTTTGGCATTTATCCAAAAAGCCTCAAGAAACTTGGGCGCTGGTGTTTTGGCATCCTGTGTGAATAACTTTTATACCAAAATCGTCTCCGCTATGCTTTTGTATCCTATGCGTCCCTATTGGCGTGCCTTGTTTTGCTTCTCGTTTTCCATCTAGGTGTTCTTTTATACGGATACATAAACGTCTGCCGGTTTCGCCAATATATTCGTCTCCACAAATACTACAAGAAATCAGGTATATCGTACCTGAACTCATACCATCACCGTCTTTGCCAAAAGGGCAAATTACGCAGTTTTCTGTTTCACATAGACGTCATAGAGGCGGTTACGAACTAATTGAGGACGAAGAGTATCGAGTGGTATTTCTACTATCGCAACCGATTCTTCTAGACCTGCCGTTCTTAAGCATCGTTTTATAGCTATACTTACCTCATCGCTAATAAAGGGCAGCATAAACGGGTTTTTCTTTTGGCCAAGTGTTTGGTCTTGGAGCGTCGCTCTCCTTTTAAACAAATCTCGTCGGGTCACCATTTCGTAGCCATTGGAGATGGCTATTTGCCGAGCCACACACGGAGGTGGCTGTTCGAAACATGTTTCCCACAATCGCCCTCTTTGTGTGCTCGGTAAATAGCCATCTCCAATGGCTACGAAATGGTAGCCTGGCGAGATATGTTTAAAAGGAGAGCGATGCCTCAAAACCAAGCACTTGGCCAAAAGAAAATCCCGTTTATGCTGCTCTTTATTAGCGATGAAGCAAGTATACCTATAAAACGATGCTTAAGAATGGCGGGTCTAGAAGAATCGGTTGCGCTAGTAGAAATACCACCCGATACTCTCCGTATTCAATTAGTTCGTAACCGCCTGTATGACCGTCTATACGGAACACCAAATTGCGTAATTTGCTCTTACGGCAGAGACGGTGACTGCATGAATTCAGGTACGATATACCTGATCTGTTGTAATGATTGTGGAGATAAATATATTGGCGAAACCGGCAGGGCTTTATGTATCCGCATAAAAGAACACCTAGATGGCAAACGAAAAACAAGACGAAGTACTCCATTAGGCACGCATAGAATACAAAAGCGTAGGGAGACGATTTTGATGTAAAAGTCAATGTCCTCGCATAGGAGACTAAAACACCAACGCGCAAACTTCTTGAGGCTTTTCGGATAAATGGCAAGAACTTTACAATGAACAACGGAGGAATACCCAGAAGTCACACGCGACCTGGCCCCGCATTTTCGCATCAATTTCTGATGTGGGGTGGTGCAGTCATCAACCGTATGCGACTATAATCAGCTGGTCTAATCTTTCTCAATTGAAGTCACGTTAAAAGCGGTAGATTTTTCGAGAAGATGCTGATCGTGTAATTGCCATTCAGGTCTTCATCTTTCTGTACGTCTTATTTAAGCGTTTAACATAGTAAATTGCATATCACTATATCCTTCCAAGTTCTGAAGAAGGCGATTCTGCCGAAACGTCAGCCACGGTTGTGTTGCATGTGTGTCATTGTATGGAAGTAATTATATGTTGTCTAACAACCTCGCGATTGCTGAGAAATAAAACGACGCATTTTGGTGATATTTTGGTACTTTTGCAAGCTTCCACGTTTTTTTCAGGTAGATATATGTACGACTACATTCCATTGTGATCATATGTCCAACCATAGCAATTTTCGCAAAGCACAGATGTAAACTGATTACCGAAATACTTGGAGCTGATCGTTGCGTCGAAGATATACGGTTCTTAGGAACAAGAACAACTTTGATTTTGGACTTCGGTTGATACCGATTCCGAGTTTCACGTGCACTAGGACTCATAATGGTCATAGTCCTGAAAAGAAAGACTACCTCTGTGCTTCGACTGATTACGACAAGCTACTGTATCACCTAATGTTTGTAGATATTGTAGTTATATCATTATCGAGAAATCAAACTCGACTGGTAAAGTCAACGCTCACTTCAATATATTTATATGTCGCAAAACACGTAAGAGAAGATAAATTGGAGCAGCTCATATCCGGTCTAATGCGATGTGTAAAACGATGACGTCTACTAAGCAGATCTCTGCTTAAAGATGTGATCAATCACGTTTCAATGTCCTTGATCGGATAACTGGCATATCGTGCTTGCAGAATGGGTGTGGTTTTTGAAGCGGTACTTTGAATAGCATCAAACATTTTCCATTCTTTTTGCTTCATGAAGATTATGGTCAGAAATGTTATAGAGGTAAAATAAAAAGGCTGAAGCTCTTGATGTTGATCTATCCCTAAGGGATACGCAGTGCATTCGATTTCACTAAATGGTTGGAGGTGATTGAATGCATATCTGGCCTTTACGATGACTCGCGGTGGCCTGCTTATGTATCGAACAAGTACTGTTATCCTCCCAGACAACTCTGGTACCAACCTGACGACCTCCGAATAATGGAACGCTCGGTGAGCATGGGGCGCGGTGATCGATGTAATGCGTATTGCAAGGCGTCTCTGACCACTGCGCTACATCCGTTGTGGAGGTATAATTATAGATTTAGGTAACAATATGACAACGTCAAGACTGTGTCATGGATTTATCATGCTTGCCTATGGATGGATTCGGTACGCTTTGTTTCAAAAACCTCCTTTCCTGTAACCTCGGTATGACTTATCAACATGTATTCCTTTATTGATAAGCTAACACGGGAGTCGATATACAATTTTATTCGGCTACTTTTGATGTGGTGTCTTCGTCGTCGCATCGGATCGGATCTTCTTCAGTGTATGTTTACTGCACTTTGTACTAAACAGTAACATTCATAGCTTCCCTTGGATCTATTCTACTATCGGAGACTATTTTGATGTTGTTTCATCGAATACACTTGATTGCCTTAACCAGATGCAATTCACTTCTGTTAGCGCTTCCTTCCCAAAGTCTGTGCATTTTGAAGTCGCCATATCATTTTCAATTATCCCGTTGTTTGCGACTATGTACCATTGCTTAATGAGGTGTCACTTGTACATTTTGCCGTGCTTGACAGTTTTTCGAACCTCATTCGACAGATTTCCAGTGTTCGAAGCCACTAGCTGCCAATCTTACTATTTCATCTGTTAGCTGATGCATTTTCGAGTTAGCGATGATCTCCAGTGTTTTTCTGTGTGCAGGCAATCATATTATTTGCTTCGACTGAGTTCTTTTTTATGGAGACGATTCTTCGCGACTCCCTGAACTTAGAGCCATTCGTTCTCAATCATAATGAACTAGTGATGCATGACGCTCTTAAGTACTATGACTGTATCTACAGAATTGTGTCGCTGATCAGTTCTTACGTACAGTTTCCGTTGGAGTGAAGTTTTCTTCGCTTAGTAGGACTTGTTTTCTCTAAATTAATGTAGTAGAGGTTTGAAATACTGTACTAAGAGTTTGTGCACGCATTGTGTAGAGTTTCCTCACAATACACGCCTGATCATTGGTTCTATCCCATACTCGTCGAAAACTAAGCCTCATCGCTTAAATCTTGACAAATTTGCTCCAGACTACCTTCAAAGCTACAGGCGCTGATTTCGCACATCGACAGATTCTCGCAATTCTTTGTAGAGACCAGATGTGCATTCAGTTACCTCTATACCTATCGTGAAGTTGAGCGCATGACTTATCCCTAGTGGATTGATCAACACAGGACGCTTTATCATTCTATCCTTGCTCCGAATACTGCTTTATCGGAACCTCACTACAGGAATTGACGTGTGAACCGGAAGTTAGAAGGAGATTCATGTCTTCATAACTAGATTCGTGCTGTGGCATTGCCTTGTTTCCACTCGGTTTTCTCTTTGCTAGGCTCGCAAATCATAGAAAAAAATGGACGATTGAACCATTTCAACGTGGATATTTGAACTGAATGGCTACTTTTTGGGATAAACTGGCTGTGCTTCGTAGTTGTGAATGCTAGGACCACTTGTTTATCACAACGTGAATGACCCATAGAAGTGTTAAGTAGTGTTGCAAAGATTGTACACCATAAATTATCGTATCAGGTCTTAGTTCTCTCTTTTGTTTTTATCTATTGGAGGAGATAGAATTACGGTAGGAGACTTGTGAGAGACTTGTGAATGTCTGGAGTATGAGAGTGCTAGTTTCGGTTCGTCATATAGATCGTGTGTTAATTGGTCATATAACTGTTTATCGCACAGATACAGTTTAAGTAAGCGCTCCTTTGAACTTAATGATAAAACTGAGAAGAGAGAATAATCACATGAGTATATTTGACGAACTTAGTGAGTCAGGTGATCGAGGAGGAGAAGCTGCAGGAAAACTGTGCAGTTGTGGGCGATTACTTCTTGAAGCAACTCTCATCAATCGACAGCCATCTTATTGGAGACGTTCGAGGAAAGGTAATAAAAATAATACGTTATGGTAAAATTCTAGGTTTATAGCACGTGAAGCAGAATAATCTCTTGCAAGTGGAGAAGTCATAAAATCTTAAAGGGTTTGATGATTGGTGTAGAACTGATTGACGAGGACGGTAAGCCACTAACTGGTGATCGTCTAGCGAGCATCTTCGAAAGAATCAAGGTGATTCGTTATCTTATTACTTTGTTAGACTTTGATAGTGTTTATTATATTTATGTGGTCATGACTTACCAAGTGAACTAAGGTAACTGGAGATGATTTTAGAGTTCTTGTGAAAAGGATAAGTAATATTTTTCAAAAATACCCCGAAAGAACGTTATGCTTATCTACGCATAAAAATTCCTATTTGGATAATACGAACTTCATGTGGTAGTCCACCACTGACATATAATGCCTGTTTTTGTAATGTCTGTAATCCTTGTGTTACTAAACTCGCCGCTCAATGAACTCGTTCGACAAAAATTTTTTTGTATATTTCTAAGTGTTGAATGGAGCTTCTTCCGGCCAACGCCCGCCAAACATTTGTGTTGGAAAATCTATCGATTGAAAACAAGAAGCATAGGAATAAAATTCTGTGTGTCAAAATAAGCCATTAGAAAGAAAATGACGCGTATATTGCTCATACTAGCCACTCGATACACCGCATAATGTATATAGTGCACACTATCCGTTATATGTTGAACACGAAATAGAAAGTCACTTTTAAGATCCAGATCGTAGGCCTACAGATTTATATTGTACTCATATCTATTGATTTAGGATCGAGGCGTATTGGTCGGTAAGGGTGGTTTGAACGGTAACGTGCTTCGAATTAAGCCGCCAATGTGTATCACGAAGCAGAACGTCGATACTTGCGTGTCGGCAATCGCCGACGCTTTGAAGCAAGGAAATTAATCAGTCAATACCAATCGATTTCATCGTGCCGATCGTTATCAGCTCGGTTCTATGGCCCCACATTGTTTTAAATCAACTTTCTTGCGGGTGTTATTTCTGCTTGATAGAGACATTAAGTTGTTGAAGAAGATAGTACTTGTTTTCATCTATTCAGTTTTCGTTCCTGTGATTCCAAATTGTTCAGAATACTTGTTAAATCTGTTAGTTACGTTGTTCGTTCTGTTAACTAGACGAAAAATGATTCAAGACTTGTGGGTTTTTATCGAGCTTTGTAGAACAGATTCGGTGCAGTTGGGAAGATCGGTTTCCAGTTAACCTCGGTATTAATAATCAACTTATCGTATATTATCTTACGATCTCTCCTTGATGAGCTGACCCGAGGTTCTTAACAAGCACTATGGTTTTCGATCGCCAAGGTTTCAACGGTTTCATCTTTTTCAGGGAATCTTTCTCAAAGAATCAGGGATTTCATCTTTCTGGGAACGGAGAACGCCCTCCTTTTGCTTAAATAGAGCGAACGGAACTCTCTGAGATACGAGAAATCAGAGATATGGTGTTAAGTCACGTGTGGCAGTGAAGCTTCGCGTTTTCGTTTCATTTTTGAACTCTTCGAATCTATCCAAAATATTGCAGCAGCTTTGTGTTTTGTAGTTTTTGATTTGTCCGCAGAAATTCGCGTTTGCACATCATCCTCGGATCTTAAAAATCCCTCCATTTGGTTCGTTATCCTGGATTTGACTGCTACTTGAGAATTTTTTTGTCATGAATACCGTTTATATTGGCCGAGTAGAATGTCTCTGGAATAATGGGTGGTCTTAAATGTTTCCACGTTTTCACCACAGTTACTCACTGCTCTTTGTGTATCGAGCGGAGCCTTCCTCAGATAAGTCTGGTACCAGTTTGCCAAACCAAGATGAATAGTGGGTGGCTTGGTTGGCGCAATGTGGAAGAAAACCAGTTTTCATGCGTCTCTTGCATGGCATGTCTGCGCATCCTGCAGCCGAATAAGTAATTAATAGGAAAAAGAGTGGAAATGAGAGCAGATAGAAAGGCATTGGCTCCTGGCGATGAAATGTTTATCCCATGGTTTACAGTTTCACAAAAACGCTTCTATATGCCTGATAAGGTGCACTTTAAGATAGGTGATAAGTCTACTCTGATCGACTGAAAAAAACTGCAGGTGTGGAAAACATGAGCTTTAAGGTGGATATTTTGTGATTTTCATTGAAAAAAAGATCGATTTGTTCCACCTCTATACCTTTAACCATAGAGCGACCTAAGTCTTGAAGCAAAAAATCTTCCATTCCTTCCACTCGCTGGTTAGGGCTGTCCATTGAGTTCTGCTGGCTTAAAGACTCCACGAAGCACCACATTTTTTTTGTATAAGTCCTTTTATTTTATCTGTTCACCTTCCGAATAGGCTGACATGAATAGTTCAACAGGATTTTGCTTGGATTTAGCTTACGGTTAACCGGTTTTATGGATGGCAGTGGCGACCTCGTTCTCAGCTTAGGTGACCTTAGTGCGCGATGGACCCCTGCTGTGGATTGCAGTCAGTTCGGCTGACTGCCATGAACGATGAGAAGATGGTAAAGTTCTTTCGAAGGTACAGGAATTGCTGCTTACGGAAATATTGTTACTTTTTAATAATTTAAACTTTTTAGAATATGCTTTTGAAGAAAGAAAATACAAGGACGGTGTGATTTATGCTCGGACATTAATAACGATCAGTTACACATGTATTTATTCGTTTCGCATTGTAGTCATTGGGTTAAAACAGTTAAAAATAAAGTATTCCGAGTTCATGTCTTAAAAACCTTATTTTACATTTGAAAAGAAGCTAAGATTTATCTCAATTGAAGATTAATCACGATTTTTCTGGGTCAGTATGAAATCGCCTAGTCCTTTCAGGAACTGAGCTGTTCTCAAGGAAAAAATGAGTTGTCCCATTATTTTCTTTAAACAGGGTTGATGTACGGTGCTAACCAATCGCTCTACATTCTAACGGAGATTCAGCAGTGGTACTGAACAAAAAGAAATCAAAATCTTCGCGAAGAATCTTAAGAATGTTAAAAGTACTCTTTCTTCTACTAAAGTTTTTGAAATAGTGGAGATATCATTTGTTACAGGTGAAACTCATCTCCCGCATATCATAAACATTTTCCGCAGTTATTCGCCAAGCGCATCACCAGCCCTTAATCCTAATCGCACAAACGAGACCAGGAGCTCGTCTAACCAAATTGATTTGCTATTTAGAAAAACCGTATTTTGGCATTGGTCTAAGTTTCGACACCTACCTACCAAATCCGGGTACATCATCGCCATTAGTGTTGCCGTTAACTTACTATGATCCCCTAGTACAAGGAAGACCCATGAAATTTTATCATAATCGAAAGATAAACCAGAATATTAAGGGAAAAAGGATAAAGCTCCCGGCGTTGATCAATCCCTGAAGGTTGCGCCATGCATTCGACTTCATTAAGCAACGTTTGGAGGTGACGGAATGCATATCTGGCCCTTACAATGACTCGTGGTAGCCCACCGATGTGTTGAACCAGCGCTGCTATCCTCCTAGGCAAGTCTGGTACAAGTTTGTCGACCCCGGAGAGAAGGAAGGCTGGTGAGCCACGGGCTAGAAGATCGATCCCATGTGTGCGTCGCAGGGCGCCTCCGACTAGTGCTCCACACATGCTCAACTAGAATATATTTTTCTTCAAATGACGTGAGAAGATTGCTCATGTCTGCTGACAAGCGCTGATCTTACTCTATTCAATAGTAGTTTAAATAAAGTACTTTTACGGCGAATTATATGTATAGTAAATAAAAAGCGCCAACTCTTGCTCAAAAAAGGATAGGGTTTTATATGCAAGATCAGTGTACCGTAGTAAGTGCATCGATCTAAAGTGCTATAATAGTTATATACTTGGACAGCTGGACTGCCCGTCTTCACGAGTTGTGCGGACCACAGCACGTTTCCCATTCATTTTTTTTGTCACGTAATCGTCGTCCGTGGCGGTGGCTGGATTCCAGCATGGCGGCGTGTACGGGTCTCATTCCATGATCCGTAAAACAACTATCAGATTTGAGCACAGCTGATTGGCTTTAGTTAGGAACGCTCCGCTCCAACTTATTGTTGTTCGCCCCATGGGATGGATGCTCCTCGTGGAGTGCACTATACAGTACTTTTCGTCCACCTATCACCTATTTTTCGTAATATGTCACAGGCCAGTCTATGTTTCGATATCGACGTACGTTCGCCTGGGTCTCGAAGATCGAATAGATTTCGAAGATCAGAGCTTCGCATTTGAGCTGGGTGTTTTGCGTGCCGGCTATATTTCAGAGGACATCGGTCAAGTGCTCTGTGAGCAGTGCCCAGTATTCTTGATGTGATTGAAGTATCGACCCGCCCGTAATAGTTATACAAAGAAATTTTATTTCTGTCCACAAGTAATGGCTTAAAAACAATGAATCATGGATATAAAATGAGGAAATATCATAATACATGCAGGTAGAGGTAGATTCATAGGCGGTCATTTGAGATCATATGTGTAAAAAAACTAAAAAACTACACAAATGTACGGCGTAGTCTTAAGCAATCCTTAGAAATCTCTAAGAAACCTAAAATGTTTCTGTCCTAACACGTAATCCATTCTATTGCTATGGAAAGAATTTCCATTGTTTCGCTTAAACCACTGCGAATAATTATTTGGTGCTCTACATTAAGGCATGTTGTAGAACAAAAGAAAGGTAGTGAATAAAACCTACACATTGTGGTTTCAACTACAGCCTCAGCTTAACTGGGCTCGATGCCATTTTTGCTACCCAGATAATACCCGTTGACGGGTGATTGCTGATGACACCGTTATGGTAAAAAAAAACTAGCCGAGAGAAAAGTAAAGGGGGCCTCAGTGGTGGAATGGATAACAAGTGAACCTCGAAGGGGGTAATCGAGAGTTCGAGTTTGGCCCGAAGCCTGGGTTTTGTAAATATCTCAGCATCATCGTGGTTTCATTCCACATAGTACACTCTCTTAAAAAATAATACGAAGAGCTACACATTGTAAAAATAAAGGTGTTTTGAAAACTAATATGTATATTACGTTGCTTTTATAAATGTCTCTGTGAATTAACGATTATCATCTATGAAAAACTTGCTAACGGAAGTTACTCAGTGAGACATATAGGCTCGTTAGTTCGATCAATCGCCTTGGGTTAACTAAGTCTCCCAATCACTTCGATGTCGGCAAATTCCATCCATAGGGAATCCATAAGTCATTTTACAGAGCAGATATGCATTCAATCACCTCTGCGATGCCTGCAATGAAGTCGGATGCACAGCTTATCCCTAAAAGGTTGATAAATGCTTTATCATTTTAACATTTCAACAACCAGTAATTCTAACTTACTGTGGAAGCAACTACCATTTTGGAACAACCGTGGTCACAAGACAGCAAATAGGCCCACGATCTACGTGGTTCGGTCTGTGTTGAGAACCGTCAGGGAACCCTCTAGCGCTGTATTCCTGGAATTCCATGTAGCATATTAATGAGCACCCGATGGATCTACAAGCCGGGGTCGAACCTAGACTTGAAACGACCACATCTCTGGAAAGTGGTTGCAATATAGCCACAAGAATGTAAGAAGTGCCTAGACGTGCAATATAAGCGTAGTCGGGCCTTTAACTAGATAATCTACCACAATATGTAACAGTGCTCTAGATCATTGTTTACTCTGAAAACGTAGAATATTTATTGGAAAATATGGCCTTCGGTGCAGTCAGGCCGGGGCGAGTGCAATATTCGCATATCCAAACATGGCAGTCGACCAGGCCTAGCTGACACGAAGAATGTGACGATGACGAAAGAAAGAGAAGTGGAGGAGATGAGGAAAGAGGAGTAGTAGTAGTAGGAGAGGGAGAAGGAGGAATATGTGTGGGTAGGATGGTAATGAAAAGGAATAGTAGGCGGTGAAGAAGGAGAAGGAATGAATGAGAGAAGAGAT